TTTCACAATTACTAAAATATTAGCCAAAAGTTCACAAGATCATCATCCTGCGTATACATTCATATTTTTTAAAGAATTTCTTTTTGAATTTGCCAATTGGAAGGATAGAAAACCGGACAAACGACTATCTTCTTTTTTAGATCAGAATTTGCACACCGGTGTTCACTGCGTCTGAACACACATGTTAATATTTTTTAACACAAACGTTAAAACTTTGAACACGTCTCTAAGCATGAACATATGACGTTAAAATATTGAACATTCGGTGTACAAATTTTGAACGCGTCCAGACGCGTCAGGCGTCAGGTATAATTACAGTGCGGCAGTTGGTACCAGCTTTGTGTAATCTACCCCTCCTATACAGTTTACAACCTAAATCATGGAAACTTTACAGAAATATTGTATATATATTGATAAATGATAGTTTTGCACTTAATTGCTATTTTGGAATTGTTTGACTAATAATTTCATATTTTCCTAGACTTTGCAATTTAGTCATTTTCAGCAAAATGTATACAAGAATGTACCTTTGCGTGTGTAATGGACCCTTCCCCAATCCAAGTTTTCTTATTGATCCTACAAGACCATTTTGATTAGACAACCCGGCAATTTGGATCTTTGATCTATTTGTTGCCATTAAGGATATCTATCGAATATTAAACATCGTTCGTTATTAATTACATGTAGATCTTCCGTTTGATGTTACAGTCAAATGTATGTAATGACTATGAAATTATAAATCAAGAAACACTGGTGATCACAATATGACTTGACAATAAAAGAAAAGCAATATGACAAACAGCAACTGCAACGATGTCCTCTGAATAAACAGGCTTCTGAGTTATGACAGGCACATAAAGAATGTGGCGGGGATAACCATGTTTGTGATCGAGCGTTCAACCCCCCTCCTTTCCCTAAACCTTCAGGGTCATTGGTGTTAAAGCACGACCAAGTGTTTGTTTGTTTGTTTGTTGCCTATATTATGGCGGCCATTTTTTATATTTGAGGAGGAAGCTTGAGTTTAACCGAATAGAACTACCGACTATCGGTAGGAAATCTGACAATCCTTGTCAAGTAAGATTGTAGACAAACTAACAACGTTACACCATAGTTGACAATCCTTGTCAATTAAGGCAGATGGGGTGTCTAAATTATAATCCATAGAATTTTTATACGACCGCAAAAAATTTTTTGGGATCGTATAATGGTATGATGTCGTCGTCGTCGTCCGAAGACACATTGGTTTCCGGACAATAACTTTAGTTTAAGTGAATGGATCACTATGAAATTTTGTAAGAAGGTTCAATACCACAAAAGGAAGGTTGGGATTGATTTTGGGGATGATGGTGCCAATCGTTTAGGAATTAAGGGCCCAAAAGGGGCCCAAAACAAGCATTTTTCTAGTTTCAGGATAATAACTTGTGTATAAGTATTTCAATTGCTCTGAAATTGTACGACAATGTTTAATACCACAAGTAGAAGGTTGGGATTTATTTTAGGGGTTATGGGGCCAACAGTTTAGGAATTAAGGGACAAAAAGGGGCCAAAAACAAGCATGTTTTTCTTGTTTCCAGACAATAACTTGTGTGTAAGTGTATGGATCTCTCTGACATTGTACCACAAGGTTCCATATCACAAAGGGAAGGCTAGGATTGAGTTTGGGGTTAATTGCCCAAATATGTAGGAATTAGGGGCCAAAAAAGGGCCAAAAACAAGCATTTTTCTAGTTTCCAGACAATAACTTGTGTTTAAGTGTATGGATCTCTCTGAAATTGTGCTTCAAGGTTCCATACTACAAAGGAAAGGCTGGGATCGAGTTTTGGGGTTATTGCTCCAAGGAGGGTTTCAAAAAGTTGGGGGGGGGGGGGGGAGATTTTTTTTCCAAAAATTTTCAAATTTTGAATTTTTGAAAAGTTTCAAGAAGAAATCTTCAATTGCACAGTATTGGGCAATAGATTTGTAAGATCTTTGACCACATTTATTTTGTGTCAGAAATCTATATTATGTCAAAAATTTGATCACAATCCAAATTCAGACAGTATCAAGCTTGAATATTGTGTCCAAATTTGTACCAACTGTTCAGGGTTCGACCTCTGCGGTCGTATCAGGCTGCGCTCAGCGAAGCATTTTATTTAAACATTTGCCAAAATGTTGTTTATATCATGCTTTTTAAAAAAAAATCAATAAAAAGAATGGGTCACGGGGCTTATTTTCACGCAACAAGTTGTGCAAAATGGACAGATTTTGTATAGATTATGCATGGAAAACCTAATTTTCAGCCATAAAACGAAAACTACACCATAGAATTTTGAGATAAAATATGAGAAGATAGCTCTAATATTATGCTTTCAGATAAGAACAAGAAAAAATGGGGTCACAGGACCCGTGTTCTTGCTACATAATAAAATAGGTAAATTCCTAACACATTCTATTGTAAAGTAACTTTATTTGAATTATCTGCCCTTACATTTGAGTTGCCTCCCCTTAATGTGGCAAAGTTGGAAAAAATTGAATCAAACAAAAGTATTCTGTTTTTTGATTCAGCCATGCTGGATCTATGCGATCACTCTGTTTTTGGAGATGGTGCAGAATACTAAGTTGAAGACATAACATGAAACTAATTATGTGTTTATATGACTTGCAGAAACTTTCTACACCATTTAAATTATCAACTGCCAACTTTTGACATGTTATTTTCCCTTAAATTGAGAAAAGATTGGTCGAACAACCCTTTTATTTTAGATATACACTTGCATATAGTTCCTTTGTAATGTTGTAAATCAAAATTTATAATGATTTACTATTTATGAACTAATTTGAAAAAGTATTTGTGCATCAATTGAATCAGTTGATAAGAATTTTGAAAGTATTATATTAGTATCTTAAGCTTGTGTAAGTTGTAAACTGGTCCGCCGTTCTATCTATAGATTCGCACCGAAGGAACGGGTTGGAGCCATTGTCACATTGGCATTAATTGGACGAAGCTTACAAATTCAACGATTCGCTAATAAAATAGACCAATTATAGTGATAGGAAATTGACCTCAATTATTAATACTGCGATGCCGCAAAATAAACAAGTATCTGTTAATTAACCCCTTGGTGGTAGCGCAGACAAAAGACCAACGAGCGTGTTATCATGTTCTTGACAAAATGAGCCGGTATCTTTCATTTCCTTAAGAACTCAGTAGGGTTATAAATGTGCTAATTTTTCGTTTGATTTCCTACAGTATACTACATAATAAACATAGCACATGATGCACTAGTCTCGTCGAATTATTAAATCCCGTGGTCAGAATTCTGACCACGGGATTTAGGCCGTACCTGTTGTCAGTGTAGCGATAAGTGAACACAACAGGGGTCCAGTTTAGTGTAAGTTGTTGTTCAATATAATGTAGGTCAACATGTGTATTAATATATCTAAGTTGATTCCCACTCTTTTTTGAAATGCTGCTACTCCAATTCTTTCCATCTATAGGCAAGTAAGAGTCAGTATGATTATCAACTGTCATGATTTTCAAATAATTACACTCAAAGGTGTAAGCGTTAATTAGAAACAACCCCAGGCTTAATTAGTTACAATAATCAGAAATTTGGTTGAAACAATAAACAAAATTGCATAACTCTTACCTGAGCATTTTCTGCAATACAATTTATTTGTTTGTTCTCCATTTATATCCCATTATATTGCTAATTAACAGTAATTGGAAATATCTCAGCATTAGGTATTTGTACATTTAAATTTGAATACAGGAAATGAATTTTTTCTTAATGAAAATTGAACAACAATTTAGATAAAAAACAGTTATTTTTTTTTTTTATTTTTTTTTTTTGAGAAAGCACATTTCCAAGGCCTCTTTCTGGAAATTATTAAGCCAATTATTATTAATGGCATATACAAAATATGACACTTGTTTGAAGATTTCCCTTTCCATTCTTGTCAATTCCATTAAATTGCAAATATTTATAAAAAAATCTGACAGTGTTTAAAATTGAAATATTAATATATCTATCGATATTTCAATATTTGCATCGATATTGCAAAATTCCCTACCTTTTGACAATAACACAGAAATTTTACAGTTAGATTGGAAATGAAAAGAGAAAAAAAAAATATTGGAAAAAGTTTGGTCAGAAAGAATATCAGACTAGCTATGAATATGGTTGGATCACAACATCGACGATGCTTTGATTTTAAATACAACTAAAACATGTCATTTTCTATATTGAAATGAAAATTCCGACACATGAATGACCTACTACTCTAAAAAATTTGCACAGTTTATTAAAGATCTAGACCGATTGTTTTCTGGTATTTCAAAATCCAAGATGATCACTGACTTCTGATGAAATTATTGTAAAGTTTGCCATGTTATTTGTCATTTTTGACGGTTTATCTTTTTAGATTTATAAGTAGAAGAAAAATAATGCTGTCACAACAAAAACTGTCGGCTAATTTTCAGATATAATCCACTACACTCAGTCACTGTCCAGGATAGATAATTGGGGGGGCATCGGAACATTTTTTGGCAGTTAAGCTGCCTTATGCTACCACCCTAGATTTGTGTTCTTCCCACTGAATGGTGTAAAAAGTGCTATTGTTATTATCTAGCTGGGGAATATGTTATTAATAACTAATTGGGCACTTTTTTCATACTTTCAATTCTGGAATACAAAAAATATGACCAGAAAAACCTTAAATGATCGTCGAACCACCCAAAATTTTTGAAGTTGCACATAGGAAGTAGTGCTCAATAGAAATCCGTACGTAGTTTATTATCCCATGTGCTTTTGGCTAAGATGACAAAGAACAATTGTATGAAATATTTCATCGCCGAAAATCTCTAATTGCAAGTCGTTTACATTTTCCAAATGGCAAACGGCGCAGCAATATTGTTCATGTACACCAAATCTCTATGATAGAGGAAATAAAGTTATACATAGTAGTCTAAGTTGGCGGTAATTTTAACTTACACGAAACGTAAGCTAGTAAGTATTCTGGATTGGGTTGCTCAAAACGTTGGATAGTGTTAACCAGTGGTTAAACGTCTTATCCACTGGCTAACTTTTAACCAATGGATAATTTCTATTGCTTAAAAGTTATCCAGTGGATAAAACGTGCTATCCGCTGGATAAATTTAGCCGGTACTTTTTGGCTGGTTAAGTTTTAGCCATTGGATAAAAATGGCTTTTCGATTGATTTACAATGTTGGCAGACGACATGAAAAAGAGCGAGTGTATCGACATATGGAACCAGAATATGATGATAATGAGTTTAGGGACAGATTTAGATTTACTAAGAATAGTTTGCAGTTTATTACTGATTTAATTGAGCCAAACTTATGCAGACCAACTTTGAGGTCACATGCTATACCAGCTTTCACTCAAGTACAATTAGCACTTAGATATTTTGCTAGTGGTAGCCCAATGAGGGTAATAGGGGATACAATGGGATACCATATATCCAGTGTATCAAGAGCTGTAAGGGACGTATCCAGTGCATTATGTAACATATCACAAGATTTCATTCAGTGGCCAGAAACGCAACAACAAAAGAACAAAATTAGAGATGGTTTCTACGATGTAGCACACTTCCCTGGTGTTGTTGGGACAATTGACGGTACACATGTTAGGATACAGGCCCCTTCTGGAGATAATGAGTACGCGTTTGTGAATAGAAAAGGTTTCCACTCTATCAATGTGCAAGGAGTGTGTGATCACACAGGTAATTTAAGTATTCACATTATATAGGGGAAAAAATATATTAACAGGTCTAAATATCAATACAAATGTTTAAAAAAAAATTCCTCCACTAAAACAGTAATTTTAATCTATTTTTTTTAATCAGTATTCTTTATTTATCATGGAATTTTTATCTATTCTTTATATTTTGGCTCAGTAATTTCTATATATAAATATATTCTTTATATTTTAGCACCTCATTATTCTCTTTTCTTTATTTTTTTGGGTCCATGTGGTTCTCTTTTCTCTAAACCCGCTTTCAGACCCTCATATAATGTTTTATCCTGTAATTTACACCTAGCTCTTAAAGTAATAGTCGTTTAAATTCAAATTATTGTCTCTGTTTTTTCAAAGAAATCGACAGAATTTAAAAGTAGGAAAAAGGAACTGTTACCTGAAAAGAAATATTCAAATTAACATTTGCTGGATATGGAATCGGAGTAACATGACACTTAATATGTAAAAGTACAAATTAAACAAAAATGTATATGTGCACATGCACTTGTACCCTGATTACAGGACAAAACATGTGAATAAGCCAGTTTTTAGGACAGCGTCAATTTATGCCGGAATTTGGGTATATTTTCAAATACCAGAGACATGCAGAATTGCACCCCTTTATCAAAAATAGATTCACCCCTCCATGATCAAGCCAACGGAGCAAGATTAGAAAATAGTCCAGTTTGGTTTTTCTTTTCTTTTTATTTTTTGAAGGAAAAACTATTTGAGCGGGATACATTGTAGTTTTTGATTCAGTCTATAACTCTCAAATAATATCCTGGAATATATATATCCTTACGTGTTTATTACTTACACAAGTGATCAACCCATCTTCACCCCCTCCCGACCCTTTAACTATAAATCTGCAATTGGGAAAAAAAATCTGTCTTAATCAAGTATTAAGTAGATTAAAACAATGCCAGAACCATAATATTATATTGCTCTGGAACTTCAATACATTCCAATTGCTTTATTTATTGATTATTTTCATTTTGTATTTAACAGGAAAATTTCTAAATGTTGTCGCCAACTGGCCAGGTTCTTGTCATGACAGTTTCATTTTCAAGACATCAAATCTTGGTAGATATATGGAAACAAGACATAGAGGTTACGATATGGATGGCGTCCTACTTGGTGACAGTGGTTACCCGTGCAAGAGATATATTGTAACACCCTATTTACGTCCAAATTCCGAGTAAGTAATTAAATATTTTTTAACTGTTCCCATTAATGCTTAAAATGTGCATCCCAAGAAAATTGCTAGTTATAAGAAATGTGTGCCAATACCAGACAGAAATTATTAGTTATAATATAATTCAGTGGCGTATCAGAGGGGCATAGAGGGCGTACGCCTCCTTTTACTTGCATTTTTTTTTAAATTAAGACTGTAAAATGATTAATCAGACTAGATTTCGTTAACTTTCCCGTACAGTTTGCGTATATTTTATGCGACAATTTGTTACTTATAAAGATATTATTCGCTCGTATTTACGTGTAAGTCTGTAATATATTATTGATTATGTCAGTCATGATGCGATCCTCTACTGTGGAGTTGACCAGTACGTTGAAAAAACGTCACTCAGTCATTTTGAAATTCAAACTACAGTAACACATTTGAAAGGCTGAGGATGACAAGCATGACGCCTTCAAAACAACAAAGTATGGAACAAGGATGTATTGACTCCTATTTCACAATTCCACCCAAGAGGAGGTTATACTCTATTTCACTCAAAAATTTAACAGCTTCAGTATTTACCTACGACATTATGTTTAACCCAACACGCCGCAGCCCATTAATAACATTGCTGAATAATGATCTCCATTCAGTAATCTCTAGATAGATTAAAAGTCTAAGTTACGGACCATTTGATTTTCGGGGGGGGGGTCTGAGATATTTTAGAAAAAATAAATCTGGCCCCGATTTTTACCTTAAAATTTTTTTGCCGCACATGGGTTCAAAATAAAAATACCCACTTTTTGGCTAATAGAAATAAAAATTTCCAACAAAATTATTTAGCATTAAATGTATTAACAAGAGGCTGTCAGGGTGACAGCAAACCGGATTTTCCTGCAGAGGTTGAACCCTGAACAGTTGAGCAAGTATGGACACTACATTTAAGCTCTGAATTTGGATTGTGATTGAATATTTGACACAGCATAGGTTTGTGACACAAAATGAATGTGGTTAAACTGAAATACTTGAAATTGGACATTTAAATACCTATTATGGTCCAATATAAAAAATCTAAGTACATGTTAGAATCAGCATATCAAAGAACCCCAAGAATTCAATTTTGGTGAAATCAGACAAAAGTTGAACATAAGACCCTTTGGACCTCAATGTGGACCAATTTGATAAAGGAGCCCACAATCCAAAATCTCTCAATACATGGTTAGATTCAGCATTTCAAAGAACCCCATAAATTATTTTTTTGTTGAATCAAACAAAGTTTAATTTTGGACCCTGATTTGGACCAACTTGAAAACTGGGCCCAAAAATCTAATATTTAAATACAGGTTTAGATTCAGCATTTGAAAGAACCCTATATATATTTAATTTATGTTGAAATGAAACACAGGTTAATTTTATCCATAATATTTTCTGTGCAAAGGGAAATAATAAGGGGATCTCGACCGTTTACAAATTCTTAAACAGGAGAGGGGTTGGGGGTAACCCTAGGGGACTCGCCTTATATTTCATTTGATTTGTTTTATGGTCCCATACAAGAATATATATGGTTTCCGCGTGGGGATCTTGACCGTTTACAAGTTTTCAAAAAGAAGGGGGGTGAGGGTTACCCCAGTGGATTTCCCCTTAATTTCATTTGCTTTGTTTTATTGTCCCATTCAAGAATATATATGGTTTAGGGGTGGGGATCTGAACCATTTACAAGTTCTTAAACAGGAGGGGGTGGGGGTGACCCTAGGGGACTCGCCTTGTATTTCATTTGATTTGTTCAAATGTCCCATACAAGAATATATATGGTTTCGGGGTGGGGATCTCGACTGTTTACAAGTTCTTAAACAGGAGGGGGGTGGGGGTGACCCCCATGGACTTTCCCTATATTTCATTTGATTTGTGTTATTGTCCCATTCAAGAATATATATGGTTTAGGGGTGGGGATCTAGACCGTTTACAAGTTATCAAAAAGAAGGGGGTGGGGGTGACCCCAATGGACTTCCCCTATATTTCATTTGATTTGTTTTATTGTCCCATACAAGAATATATATGGTTTTGGGGAAGGTATCTTGACCGTTTACCAGTTTTCAAAAAGAAGGGGGTCGGGGGTGATCCCGGGGACTCCCCAAATATTTCATTTGATTTGTTTTTTTGTCCCATACAAGAATATATATGGTTTAGGGGTGGGGATCTCAACCATTTACAAGATAAAAGCACATTCTCAAATTGAAGGGGGGTGGGGGTAGGAATATATATGGTTTAGGGAGACTTAATTATCTACAAAATGTCTAATAATGAATAGTAAATTTCAAATTTCATTTATACAGTCCTTCTAGTAAATTTCAAACTTTATATATACAGTCCTACAGATCTTATCAGGAAACAGAAAATTTTCAAATAAATCTGTCACTACAATAATATTATATGCTAAGATATAACCCAGATTTAATTAATAATTAATAATGTAATTAACTTCAAAATGTCTAATAATATAGCTTATAATCATTACCACTTAGGAAATAGATAATTTTCAAATAAATCTGTCACTCCAATTATTATTGTGAGATAAGACATTATGCTTAGTCATAAAAAAGATAACAAGGGTAAAATATTTAAAAATTCCACTTTGGGATACTAAAAATGGTGATAACTCACAAAGGAGATATACTAAAATCTTGAAAATTGAACTAGACCTTCATTAAGTCCCAAGAAACAACATATTTAATTTTTTTTTAAATTTGTTAAAGTGTTTTCATGTTATTGTGCTGACACTGTTTGGCAGCCGCCCATAGGTCTGCCCAGCCGCCTGCCGTACATCACCATTTTAATAACCGATATTTCCTTCGAAAATCCGTTTAAAACGGTCGTAATTTTTTATTTGGTTTGCATGTAAATAATTTATTTAGTCGTATCAAGCCGCAGTCTTCAGAGCAATAACTTTTTTTTTAGAGTGCATGTTTGTATTAAACCATTTGTCATTTATTTTGAGCTACCCTTGTGAACTATTGCAACGACAACAATGTTAAAACAACCTTAATAGTTATTGCATACATGTATACCATCCAAAACAGCTTTACCCTGGAATAATGTGAATATCAATTCCTTTTTACAGATCACAAGTTCGATACAACAAAGCACACGTAAAGACAAGGGCTATTGTAGAAAGGTGTTTTGGATGGTGGAAGAGGAGGTTTAACATCCTACATGGAGAGATTAGAACAAAACCAGAAAAAGCAGTAAAAATTATCACTGCTTGTGCAGTGCTTCATAACATTGCGTTAAAATTAAGGGAACAGATGGAAGATGACAATCAAGAAGTAAATGATGTCCCTGTTATTAGAAATCATGTAGATGAGAGGCGTCAAGTACGGGAACATATCACACGAACATTCTTCTCTTAATATAGTTAAGAGTTTTAAGAAAATAACTGAAATCACTTCATATGTCTCATAATTCTCATTACATAAAATGTAATTAATAAATAAACAATTTTGTACACTTAAAATTCTTTCAACTGTCATTCAAGATGTAATCTCCAGAAATAAATATAATTTTGAACAACTAAAATGTTTTAACACTCATTCTCGACTTTCATGTCTAGTCTCATCTTTTTTAACTGAAGTTTGATTAGTTTCTTCTTCAAAACTGTGATTCCTTTCTGTTCATTAATAAGATCAATTTCTTTCAATAATTTAATGTTCTCATTTTTCAGTTTGATGTGCTCTTGTTTTAGACATTTGATCTGGTAATCCTCGACAACTTTTCTTTTTTCATATCTGGTCATATTTACTAGTGAATCGTCTTCAACCACATGTATTTCCTGAGTTTTAGATTCTGTTAACTTCTCACAAGACTTTGTCATACCTGTTAAAAGATGATTTAAATTATGTTAACTCAAGCATACTAAGGTACATGTATTACAGAGAACAAATATATTTAATTTCTTATCAGTGATAAAGAGTATGTGGCATATTGTTTTACCCCCATCTGTCTGTCTGTCCCACACAGCGTATATGATTTGTACAGTTCACTCTTTGTACTGTTTTCAAGCTGGCATCAATTTATTTTACAAAATATAATAAATTTGTCATTTTGGAGGGTTATGAGGATTTAAAAATAAATGTCCTTTGTGATATTTTTTCATGCATATCTTCATTGTATACTATCTTTATGTAAAGTTTCATTAAAATCCAAAGAAAGGTTTAGGAGTAGGTATGTTTACATGGCAAAACAACTGACATATAGAATGGGTGACTCCTTTATACCCCCATGAAAACTTAAGAGGAAGAACAGCAATAAAAGCACTGTTTCTATGCTTTTTGTATTATTATTATACGCCCGTTTACGGGACGTATTATGGTATACTTTGTCTGTCTGTCCGTCCGTCGTCAACATGTCGAACATTAAATTAAAAACGCTTTAACCAATTTGCATAAAACTTTGATGAATTGTTTATATCTATTGTTGTGAGCTCCATTTCGTTTTTTATAAATTTTAGATTTTACGTTCCCGAGTTGTGGGGTTTTATTCATTAAAAAAAGGGGGATTTTCCAGTTTTCGGACAATAACTCAAGAATGCTTTCACCATCTTGCAAGACATTATGGTGAATTGTTTATATCTATTGAGATGAGCTCCCTTTCGATTTTTATAAATTTTAGATTTTACGTTTCCGAGTTAAAGGGTTTTATTCATAAGAAAAGGGAGATTTTCCAGTTTTGGGACAAAAACTCAAAAATGCTTTCAGCAGTTCTTATAAAACTTTGGTGAATTGTTTATATCTATTGATGTAAGCTCCCTTTTGATTTTCATAAATTTCTAATTATGACATTGAGAATAAATTGAACTTTATATGTTTATAGTCTGACAACAGATTTACTAAGTATTGCGCAACAGCACAGTGTATTGTACATCAGCAAGAAATCTTTAATTGAATATAAATTCAATTCGTATAACTAATTTCAAGTTCTTTGACTACATTTATTCTGAAACCTATAGTATTTCAAATATTTAATTACAATCCAAAATCAGAATTGTATCAAGCTTGAATATTGTGTCCATTTTTGCCCCAACTGTTCAGGGTTGGACCTCTGCAGGCGTATCCAGCTCCGCTCAGCAAAGCAGTTTATTGTCTATGTAATGATTTTGTGTCATGGATGGATGCCCCATTTCCTTTATGTTTCTATCGATATGTTTAGTTATTATATACCTTTTATTGAAGAATAGTTTATGATATATGCAATGGTGTTATGAATCATGGAGGGTACATCAAAAGCTGTAGGGTTGATTTCTTTAAAAGTGCATAAGTACTCTGTTAGTTCATCTCGCTCATCATCTGACATGCTTTTAGTTACATCATCATACTCATTGAGTATGCTATTGCCAATCTTTGGTAGAGATTTTATATGTTTGTAATTTTTCAGAAATTTCATTATATCTGCCTCCATTTCCTTTGCTTTACTAATAACAGAATAATGTCCTACACCTGCAGAACAATAAAATAAGTGGGTTGTATTTTTTAACCTTTGTACATTAGGTTTAACATTAATAAAAATGCCATAGGAAGCACTGAATTGAAGGTCTTTATGTTGTAACCTGTATAGGCCAGAATTGAATATTATATCTTAAAATTCTGTTGAAAGAACGGAATGGTCCGAAAACATGTTTTGTATATTTTCTGAGAATTCTAGAACTTATAATATTCACAGATATTTTCCAATTCTGACATTATTCTACCACTTTACCAGAACCCAGTTCGAGCTGTGCTAAAAAAATCTTATTTAATATGAAAGATAGTTTAGATTAATCTAATACATATACATACTGGCATTTACTTCAGTACTGGTCACTGTTGTAATTACGTCATTCTTCATGGTACTATCTGGAAAACAAGATTGTTTTAAAACATTATAAAAGATATACATGTTGTACAGGCTTTGGCACAGTCATGACAATGTTTTGTTTATATTAAAAAAAAAAGGCTCCTTGTACTTTTTTAGAGCGCGTGGGGTGGGTAGGGGGGGGGGAACGAATACATTACGGGGACACATTAGATTAAATATATAAAAGTTTAATGTTCAAGATTGTCATGTTAGTATAGAAATGTATAGGTTAAAGAGTAACTTCTAACTATAACCTTCAGTATTTTGTGTGTCTATATCCTTTAGACAATTAAACATGAATAAAATGGGCTTTCATCAAAATCATCGATATCCAGCAACAAAGGGATTTGGATATTTGATTCGAATAGCAGAAAACAACAAAACAAAATATTGTAGTAAATACCTTTGGAACATGTACTAGATGCAGTATGTGGATTGACAGGAAGTGACATCTCAAAAACAGATATCCAGCAACAAAGGGACTTGGATATTTGATTCGAATAGCAAAAAACAATAAAACAAAATATTGTAGTAAATACCTTTAGAACATGTACTAGATGCAGTATGTGGATTGACAGGAAGTGACATCTCAAAAACAGGCCTTTCCTCTCTACTTTCATTGCTGTGCTTTATTTCTAGAAATAGATTAAGGTCTAAATATAATTGTCCGCAAATTAAAAAACAACAACATCAATGGGCTAATATAAATTTAGAGAATGACCATTTCAACTTTATTTGGCATTTTTTTTTATTATTCATAGCAATCCAGCATCTTACATTGTTTTGTTGGTTTTTTTTTCATCATACAGATTTATAATGAGATATAATAAAAGCGAAAAAAACATTTAACATTGATGGGGATTATGGTTCCTTTTCATGTTAAAATTTAAATATTTCTCCTTAAGCAAAATGAATAATGTGAAAAAAATTAATATCTTAGATTTCAATTTAGTATGTTAAATGGCTTAATTTAAAAATATTAGAAAATTTATTTTTCCTCCTTCAAAAACATTTTGGAATCAGAAAAAAAAACCTTTTTCCTTTCTATACTTTTGCTTATACTAAATAAGTTACCCTAAAGTTTCAATTAGCACTGTTCAGGTTATAAAGTTTCCCCCATAGCCTTAAAAAAAACCATGTAGTTAAAAACAATTTCCTCTCAGGGGGGAGGGGGGCTAGTCCAATTCTTAATTGATAGGGGGTGCCGCTGGGGTTCTGTTACCCCATCCTTTTCATATAATCAAGATTGTAAAAATATATACCTTTTTATATATTGCAAAGGTAAAAATGTAACCCTTTCCCATATTGTTTGGGTTTTATGTGGAGTATTATGGTCTGTAATGTTAGAGTGGTATACCAAAGTGCCAAAAGAGAACAAATGGTTGATAAAAACAACTGGGAACACCAAGAAAGATGACAGACGAAGAAGTTATTGGAACTTTATAGACCTAATCATATATTTCTGATAGTTTTCCCAACCTATTCACATATTTGAAAAGATGACCTATTCCAGCAGCACGTCCTATCACATTGTATATAGGAAGTGCCCCTTGAGAATTTCCTATCTATCTATTAAATTATTTTTTTTTAGATAAAACAGAAACGACACATATTAATTATTAACTTGGTCTAGTATGATTAATTTTTTCTTGAAACTTGGGAAGAAGAAAATTGAAAACAATAAAAACATACAGAATAAAATAGGTTTGTCTCATATTTGCATCATACACTCATGATTGATAATATACTGTAATTTAAACAGGGGATGGCAAAAAAAAAAATTAATTGCAGACATGAACTAATTATTTTTTTTGTTTGTTTTAAATATATTTTTTCTTTTCTGGTGGTGTTGGGGGAGGGGGTTTATTGTAAAAGGTGGATCTACGATTATAGGGGGTCAATAGTGCATGGAAAAATTTGGTAATTTCTATTATTTTTCTTGGGGTATTCAATCAGTGTAATTAACTTATGTGCATGTTTATATGTACATGTAACACACTATTAATATTTATAATTTATATCTGTTTTTTAATGCATGTATACACATATTTATATGCTTATGGCTCTAGAAATAAAGTGGTTATAGTCTATATCCATATTTATATGCATGTCTTTCAATCACATTGAAGCACAGGGGTTTGTGACAATTTGCCGGGTTTACTATCCATACGAACTTTTTTTTTGGGGTTCGTATGGATAGGTAAACCCGGCAAATTGTCACAAATCCCTGTGATTGAAGCATTGCTGATCATGTGAACAAAAAAATCTTTATCTTGTATACACGCGATGCCATGGCCACGGGGAAAAGGTGAGACTTACATAAAACCTTTACTTGTAAACAGAATTTGCTATTAATCAAAATGAGATGGGACTTTGTGTGCAAACTTGAGTGTCGGACTTATCTTATCGTGTTGCAGAACCACGTTCCAAATAATGAACTGGGTGTGACGTATTTATAAAGGGAGACAATAAATAGTAGCAAATCAAAATAAATACAAACCCTGTGCGTCTGGAAACATCTTTTCCAGCACTCCCACGTCTATCCCGCCGTCTATCCCAAAGAAATGTGGAGCATCTTCATGTAGAAGAATTATTTTCTTGGACGTGTCGTCAATATCCTCTACATGTGGTCCCCCGCCGGTCTTATTGCGGACTCTTTTCACGTCACTTGCCTCAAGTTTGGCTTTGGAGCAAGACTTCCTCCACTTCTCTTTTATTTGGTCTACTGTCCATTTTGGACCCCCGGCCCTGGCATTGACAGAATTTGTAATATTTAACCACACTTGATTTTTTTTGGCATTTGTTATTGAATTTGTGTGCTTTGATTTTATGATTTCATGATTTTCCTCAACCAGATCCACTAGATATGACAAGGAAGCCTTGGGGAAGTTTTCGCTTCTTTTGCGTTTCAGTTCTGTCTTCTGCTCTTTTGCTTCCATATTGCCAGGAAAAGAATGAATTATGGGTAATATGTAGCATTTAACCATTGGTTAAGTAACTTATCCAGTGGCTTACTAACCAGACTCCCATTTTGCCTTGGAGCAATGGAAAAATAGCCAACGGATAGTAAGCCACTGGATAACATAATTAGCCGTTGGATAAGCTAACCAATGGCTAAATTTAGCCATAGTTTTGAGCAACCCAGTCCTGATGTTATAAAGTAAGTTTTGTTTATCATGATCTTCTTTTCGTTTAAGAAGATTGTGATTAATCAATTAATTTCAATTAAATGTATGCACATTTAAATTCCTTTCTTTTATTAAATTATTCCGACTGAACTTGCCAATAAAGTTGTTGTTGTTTTATGAATGACAAAGATGAAAATCGACGTTGATCGGATGTTTTATAAAATGTGGACAACTCGTCCCAGAGACAACTCGGACCGCTTGTCAGATTTACTTAGGGTTTCATAAAATGTTAGACTAACATGTCTAGCGGAGCCATCAATCTTTCGTTTGTGCCTTGGGGTCTATTTAGGGGTATTTTGAGGGGCCTTAAGAAGGGAGGAGTTTACTATAGAACCCTATGGGATTTTATTTTTTTTCAATTTTCAAATGACTATTACTTGAAAATGGTAAGTGATAGACGCACACGGTCTTCAGTAATAATAACAGGACAATAGAACAAATCAAATAAAATATAGGGTGAGTCCCTGGGGGTCATCCCACCCCCTTCAATTCGAAAATGTGCTTTTATCTTGTAAACGGTCGCGATCCCCACCCCTAAACCATATATATACTTGTGTTGGGACAATAAAACAAATCAAATGAAAATTTGGGGGAATCCCCAGCGTCACCCCATCCCCTTATGTTTGAGAACTTGTAAAACGGTCGAGATCCCCACCCTACTGCATATATATTCTTGTATGGAACAGTAAAACAAATCAAATGAAAGATAGGGGAGTCCACAGGGGTCACCCCCTTGTTTTTTGAAAACTTGTAAACGGTCGAGATCCCCACCCCTAAACAGTATATATTCATGTATGGGACAAGATAACAAATCAAATGAAATATAAAGAGAGTCCCTGTGGTCACCCCCACCCCCTTCTTTTTGAAAACTTGTAAACGGTTGAAATCCCCACCCGTAAACCATATATATTCATTTATGGGACAAGATAACAAATCAAATGAAATATAGGGGAGTTCCTGGGGTCACCCCCACCCCCTTATTTTTGAAAACTTGTAAACGGTCGAGATCCCCACCCCTAAACCATATATATTCATTTATGGGACAATAAAACAAATCAAATGAATTATAGGGGGAGTCCACGGGGGTCACCCCACCCCCCTTATTTTTGAAAACTTGTAAACGGTTGAGATCCCCACCCCGAAACCATATATATTTTTGTATGGGACAATAAAACAAATCGAATGAAATACAGGGTAAGTCCCCTGGGGATCACTCCCCCCCCCTTTTTTTGAGAACTTGTAAACGGTGAGATACCCAACCCTAAACCATATTTATTCCTGTTCGTCATTTCAAGAAGATTTGAATGATATACAGGGTCAATCTCCTAGGGGTCACATATGCATATCACTTTACTAGACCTAACCAATTTGTACTGGACTTTGCCCAATGTCAGGCGACCATGGGAATGAAGAATTATGGGAGCTCTGTTTGGAAGACTTCGTAACATCATCCTGTTACAATTATTTCTTGTTTCTTATAAAATTTAACTGATGCAAAAATAAGTCTAGGTTAATTGAATTTACTTTACTTATTTTTTTAATAATTTCTGGGCCTATGAAAATTTTTATTTATGGCTCATTTTAAAGAAAACATATAAATCTTTCAAGCAGTGTAAAGCCCAAGAATGTTTGACCAACTGTTTTATAATCACCTGTCATTTTACTCCAAACTTGGGATGGAGTGACATCATGGGCTTGGTGAAGGTAAGGATCATTTACATTTACTATGGGCAGGTCAATCAGACCTCACCTTTGATCCCTGTAGTAGTAAACCTTTGGCTGATTTGTGTCTCAAAACTTTTGTACTGTAGAACCCAAACGCAGTGTTACTGCCAGGGAAGCAAGTCCATTCATACTATTACAAACTCGTACTACGTCAACTTGTACCACTAAAAGTCAACTGGTACCAACGTTAACTACCAACTAGAACAACTGCAATCATTGCGAACTTGTACCATTGCAAACTCATCATTAAAAATATACATTGATATATGCATTGCTTTTGAGAACCTTGATAAAATATTAATTAATTTGCCTTAATAATCAATTCATTAAATAAACATACATGTACAATATACGAATGTTTAATGTTTGTTCTTTCAAATCTTAAAAAAAAAATGAAGCAACACTGCCACAGTTTTCATAATTATTTTTGCTTTGGTTTTTGGTTAACTGCCTATAGCGCTTACAGTGCTTTGATTTTTTATGTCCCCGCCGTAGCGGAGGGGGCATTAAGTTTTACCCTTGTCCGTCTGTACGTCCGTCCGTACGTCCCAAAATTGGTTTCCGTTTTCTAACTTTAGTTTGCCTCAACCAAATACTATGAAACTTACACATAATGCTGATTTCTACAAAACACAGATCAAGTTTGAATTTGGGTGGCGTCACTTATACCGTTCTAGAGTTATGCCCCTTTACAAATGGAAAATTGCTGATTTTTGGAAAGTTTGCTTTAGCTTGCTATAGCAATTTACTTTCCTATGGCAACGGCCTCAAACCGGAAGTTGGACAGACTATCTTACTTTAGGATGTGTGTTCGACTCCAAGATAATGTAGAACTAGTGATTGAATACTAATTCTAGGAAGATGCTTTTGAAATTTTGAGTTACTTCTATTTTGATAAGCTTACAGCTTGAATAAAAATGGACTGAATGTTCACCGACATTTCAAATGAATTCAATTTCATTTTTTGAAAATGGGCATCACAAACACTACTTCGCGGATCTGCCCTGCGCGGAAGATAAAATCAATACACATCTACATTAGACAGCAGTTTCTACGTTTAATTCATTGAAAATTAAGAGGGCCTGATATTTATTTCGAGGTGTGTGTTGTTTTCTTTTTTAATTTATTCATGAAATTAAAGAATTCTTATTGTTAAGAATATAGTAATCTTTTCAATATTTACGTTTGTAAATGGTATTAGGTGTGTCTGACCTCTATAAATTATGCATACTTTGAACTGTCAGCCATTTTGTATGTTTATGTTACCCGTATGCTTTCCTACGGCAGTCCCCAGACATGCATGAGATCCATATATGTGAACCTCCCGACGGGAGTACAATAATCCCTGTTACAGGGGTCTCATCCCGTCCCCCCAGTTGAAGAGAAAATAAAAACCGTGTTTAAAGTATTTCGTGAATGAACATTTTCCGGCGCCATTTTTTCTACGATATTTACAAATGTTTATTAAAGACGTAAAAGCCCGAGTGTATCGAAAGTATCCTGATATCTCGGCCCGTATCAAACTATAACAAAGTCGGCCTATAACATTATCAGCCTCACAAAATCGGACTATAACGAAATTCGTATATATTTTGTTTTTATACGACCGCAAAAATTAAAAATTTTTTGGTCGTATATTGGTATGACGTTGGCGTCGTCGTCGTCGTCGTCGTCGTCGTCGTCGTCGTCGTCCGGCGTCGTCTGGCGTCGTCCGAAGACACATTGGTTTTCGCACTCTAACTTTAGTTTAAGTGAATGGATCTCCATGAAATTTCACCATAAGGTTCAATACCACGAAAGGAAGGTTGGGATTGATTTTGGGGGTTATGGTACCAACAGTTAAGGAATTAGGGGCCAAAAAGGGGCCAAAAATAAGCATTTTTGTAACTTTCAGACAATAACTTGTGTGTAAGTGTATGGATCTCTCTGACATTGTACCACAAGGTTCCATATCACAAAGGGAAGGCTGTAATTGATTTTGGGGGTAATTGCCTCAAAATTTTAGGAATTAGGGGCCAAAAAAGGGGCAAAAAACAAGCATTTTTCTAGTTTCATGACAATAACTTGTGTGTAAGTGTTTGGATATTTCTGAAATTGTACTACAAGGTTCCATATCACAAAGGGAAAGCTGGAATTGAGTTTGGGGGTAATTGCCCGAAACGTTTAGGAATTGGGGGCCAAAAAGGGGCCAAAAAACACATTTTTCTAGTTTCCAGACAATAACTTGTGTTCAAGTGTATGGATCTCTCTGAAATTGTACTGCAAGGTACCATACCACAAAGGGAAGGCTGGGATTGAGTTTGGGGGTGATGAACCATAAGGGGGTTCAAAAAATTTGGGGGGGGGGATTTTTTTTTTTTTTTTTTTTCTTTTTTTCCTTTTTTTTTTCTTTTAAAATTTTCCATTTTAAGTTGGTTATTTCTGATTTATATTTAAAAGCAAATTATAATGATATGGTAGGAGATACACACCAAACAGAATGTGTAAATTATTATATAATAAGTATTGTGCAATAGCAAGAAATTTTCAATTGCACAGTATTGCACAATAGCAAGAAATCTTCAATTGCACAGTATTGCGCAATAGCAAGAAATCTTCAATTGCACAGTATTGCGCAATAGCAAGAAATATCCAATAGCACAATATTGCGCAATAGCAAGAAATTGTCAATTGTACAGTATTGCGCAATAGCAAGAAATATTCAATTGCACAGTATTGTGCAAAAGAAGATACTTCGTATAAATTGCTTATTTCTTGATCAATTTCAATGGGGTTTTATTCTTGAATTCTTGGGGTTCTTTAATATGCTGAATCTAACCGTGTATTAAGTTTTTGGATTTTGGGCCCCGTTTTTAAATTGGTCCACATTGAGGTCCAAAGGGTCCAAAATTTAACTTTGTTTGATTTCATCAAAAATTGAATTATTGGGGTTCTTTGATATGCTGAATCTAACCGTGTATTTAGATTTTTAATTTTGGGTCCTGTTTTTTAAATTGGTCTACATTAAGGTCCAAAGGGTCCAAAATTAAACTTAGTTTGATTTTAACAAAAATTGAATTCTTAGGGTTCTTTGATATGCTGAATCTAAACATGTATTTAGATTTTTGATTATGGGCCCAGTTTTCAAGTTGGTCCAAGTTGGGTCCAAAATTAAACTTTGTTTGATTTCAACAAAAATTGAATATATGGGGTTCTTTGATATGCTGAATCTAAACATGTATTTAGATTTTAGATTTTTGGCCCAGTTTTCAAGTTGGTCCAAATTGGGGTCCAAAATTAAACTTTGTTCGATTTCAACAAAAATTGAATATATGGGGTTCTTTGATATGCTGAATCTTACCATGTATTTAGATTTTTTATTTGTGGGCCCGCTATCAAATTGGTTCATATTGAGGTCAAAAGGGTCCAAAATTAAACTTTGTTTGATTTCATCAAAAATTGAATTATTGGGGTTCTTTGATATGCCAAATCTAACCGTGTATTTAGATTTTTAATTTTGGGTCCTGTTTTTTAAATTGGTCTACATTAAGGTCCAAAGGGTCCAAAATTAAAATTAGTTTGATTTTAACAAAAATTGAATTTTTAGGGTTCTTTGATATGCTGAATCTAAACATGTGTTTAGATTTTTGATTATGGGACCAGTTTTCAAGTTGATCCAAGTTGGGGTCCAAAATTAAACTTTGTTTGATTTCAACAAAAATTGAATAATGGGGTTCTTTGATATGCTGAATCTAAACATGTATTTAGATTTTAGATTTTTGGCCCAGTTTTCAAGTTGGTCCAAATTGGGGTCCAAAATTAAACTTTGTTTGATTTCAACAAAAATTGAATATATGGGGTTCTTTGATATGCTGAATCTTACCATGCATTTAGATTTTTTATTTGTGGGCCCGCTATCAAATTGGTTCATATTGAGGTCAAAAGGGTCCAAAATTAAACTTTGTTTGATTTCATCAAAAATTGAATTATTGGGGTTCTTTGATATGCCAAATCTAACCGTGTTTTTAGATTTTTAATTTGGGTCCCGTTTTTTAAATTTGTCTACATTAAGGTCCAAAGGGTCCAAAATTAAACTTAGTTTGATTTTAACAAAAATTGAATTCTTCGGGTACTTTGATATGCTGAATCTAAACATGTGTTTAGATTTTTGATTATGGGACCAGTTTTCAAGTTTGTCCAAGTTGGGGTCCAAAATTAAAGTTTGTTTGATTTCAACAAAAATTGAATATATGGGGTTCTTTGATATGCTGAATCTAACCATGTATTTTGATTTTGGACATTGGACCATAATAGGTAAATTAAAAAAATTGAAGTTCTTAGACCACATTCTTTCTGTGTCAGAAACCTATGCTGTGTCAAATATTTAATCACAATCCAAATTCAGAGCTGTATCAAGCTTGAATGTTGTGTCCATACTTGCCCCAACTGTTCAGGGTTCGACCTCTGCGGTCGTATCAAGCTGCGCCCAGCGAAGCATTTTATTTTATATTAAGTTTGTTTTTTTTTTTAAATCTGAAAAAAACGTTTACCACACAATCTACTAATCGTAGTCTGAGTTTGTTCAGATATATTTCTGCATATAGATAATGGTAGGCCGAGTTTGTTCTAGTCCGAGTTTGTGATAGGCCGATTTTGTTTTAGTCCGAGTTATCCAGCAGCGTAATTGACATTACTGATTACGCAACATGTTTATATTTTGACCAGGCCGGCGGCTATAAATTAACAAGTGATAATAGTTTGATTGAAAAATAAACAGGTGACAGGATAGTTAAATACTTGATAATCATATAGCTTCTGTCTATGTCACACGCAAAGGATGAGTAAAGGTAAATACCGGCTTTGATAGAAAAGTGCATTGTTTTTGTCAAAACATCGATAGGAAGATTTTGATGCCAAAACACATTTATGAACTTTCTATTCAGCAAAGAAATAATAGCTATTTAACATTTCAATGCGGATATTAGGACTAAGTGGATCCAAACTGACAGCAGAAAAACATTGACTCAACGACAGTTCACAGCCTCCTAATTATAAGTGTTAGGATTAACAACTTCACAAATTGTTACAAGGATAAGGATAACTTTAGTATAGTCAAGTGTATTAAAAGCAGCCAAGTCAGCTTCTACGTCTTAGAATAACCCAGTGTGCCGAGACAAGTGCAGTAGAAATGATTAAATAACATGTGTCCATGTAATATAGACGGTGCCTCACCTGGGATTATTATACTATTAGTATAATAGTCTCAGGCTTTACCTAATACATTTTAAAGTGTTTAAAACAGTAAGTCTTAAGTTTTCCAGCAAAATGACTTTCTTAATGATTAAGAGCAATTCTCTGTAACCACCAAAGAAATTCTAATAGGGTCTGGCACACATGGTCTCAGATTTTGATGAAACTTTTATATAATAGCCAGTACCATACCTAAAGGCAATAACAGGCAACAAATTGTTCCGGAATATTCTGGTTGCCATGGAAACCACATAAGTTGATTTTAGCAATAAAAGGTCATATTTTAACTCTTGAAAAAGTGAAAAAACAACATTTTGCACTGTTTAGTACTTGATTTATGTGTAACATATCCTTTTTTTCTGAATAATATAATATAACTGACCTTTAAGCTGTTTGAAATTCACATATGTTTTACTTTTACCATTATCAGTTATTTTGCTACCAGCTAGTAAAGATATGCTAATATGGCAAATTTGGATTTCAGTGAAAAATGCGTAAATACAGGGTATTCAAGTGAATTTTTTTCTTGAATGCAGCGTCTCCTAGTAAAATGTTAGGTATATTTAGAAGGAACCAATATAGGTCTTCCAGAATATAAAATAAAATCAATGGGCAAATATTTGCAAAAAATATTTTTAATGAATGAAAAACACAAGATTTTCAAATTCTGTAAATTGTATTTTTCTACAAGTCAATAATGTTCCAAGTAATTTCCATATTTAAACAATACAAAGATGGCATTAAATTTCTTACAATTTAACAAAATTGATCAGTTAAATTTTTCAGTCCAGAAAAATAGTTTTGTTTAATGAAATTTAATAAAAATGGTTGCTATGGTAACCGAATTTGAAAATTTTACAATTTTTTTTTCTTTCTAAAATTAAGTATGTATCTTTACATTTTTAAAGATTTAATTTTGTAATTGAATACAGAGGGAAGAAAGAACTGATTGTGCATATTAGTTTTTAACTGATACAGATCAACAAAGTTTGCTATTTATAAAGCAATGTGGGTAAAATGCTGGTCCGACTTAAATATTTAAAATAAAGTAAAACACCTTCTAAGTACATGCAAATTTCATTATATTAAACTCATATTGGTGCAATCATGTGTAGGTAATTTAGGAGATAACTGTATTGTATTTTGACATTTACGGACATAAAACGTAGATATTACTGTCGCAAATTGAGTTTACCTAGCGACCTGTAGCAGAGCTAGGTAAACGAATAATTGCAACAGTAAAATCTAGATTTACGTCCACAAACCTTAAAATAAAATACAGTTATATCCATTCTAATGCAATAGTCAATAAAGATATTGTTTCTGTTTTTTATTTGGACATATAGTTGCTTAAAATAAAAATTCCACAAAATGTTGTTGACTTCTTTGACACATAAACTTCATAGCAACATCATGACGTCATATGAATACTTCAAGTGTAAAACTGTAACATAGTATGTTTTGGGGCTTTGTTTATGCTTCAAATTTGGATATAAGCTATAAAAAGTAGTTTAAGGTAGGCGTTTTTTTTTTCTATTTCGCCTATTTATTGGGAAAATATAATGTCGTTGAATCCAATATGGCTGCTTCTTGCATCCTTTCAAGATAAATAAAATAAATCCGTCATGAATTCTTTCTGTTTGATGCTAAAGAAAATCGTTTTCTTTTTCACTTTCAATGCCCGTCACATTTCTTTGGCACTCAAGTCTGTAGTACATGCATTTTCTAGTAAGACTGCTTGCATATCAGGACAATGATGTACATTATTTGACAGCTTTTGGGCATATAGAACTTTTGCCTGATCTTTTAATGGGCCTTTCTCTAGCTTATATTCACAGCTGACTTGAAGGAAGTGTTGATCAAGACTAATCTGGTTCTTGAACTCTTGAATGCAGCCAAATGAATGTCTGCTTCTGTTGTTTTGAAGCCTGTTCTGTTCCTAAAAAGAGGATAAATAAAATAAAAATTGATTCCCAAAAAAATAGAAAAATTCAAATTTACTACATTAACCAAGTTCAGTTCCAATTGGCCAAGTTGTATCAGAAGATTTTTTAAAAAGTTTATGCCAGACGGACTCAAAATGGGCCAGGTGACCTAAAAAGGACAACAATACAACATGTATAAATTTCTCTTTCAACAATGGGCAGCCTGATTATCTATAATAAGATTCTGTCGATACCCATAATCCTGTAACCCACAAGCAGGGAATTTAAATGATGCATAACAATGTTTATTGAGTTTTGTGTTGGTTTTCTCGGTTGTTGTGACAAAATATAATAATGATCATTGTCTTACAAGTGTGCTTAAGTTTTGCACATGACAGTTAGTAAATGAAATAATTATAAAATTACCTTCAGTAATGAGGTCATTAAAAGACATCTCTGTCCAGTCATTGAGTACTTTTAACTGCACAGAATTCTTTGTTGATTTTAAAGTCACAAGCTTTCCTGAAATGAAAATTGTAATTAAAGAACCTGTATTCATTTTATTGTTTGTTAAATTGATCAATATGGAAGTTTAAAAAAAATAACCAACTTCAATATCATAAACTCTATAGATTTTTTATGTCGTTATGATATAAAATTACGTGAATTTTTATAGCATCCATTCTAGTCTAGGAGTTTGTGGTCTTTTATCAATAGGCTTAATGCAACCTTTTTATTAAGATTATTTAATTTTTTATGTTTTAAGATGAAGTGCTGAGCTTATTGAATTTAGTATTGGTATTGCTTTTAATTGTCTTTATATACTTTTAACCTCTGAACCAGGATTTCGGAGGAGGGTTGAGTACTTATAGACTTCTTTTACCCACCTGTGTACAAGCCAGACCCTGTATTTTCAGTGGTTGTGTTATGTTTAAAACTATATGTTATTTGTAATCTGTTTTTTTCTTTATGTTGAATATAAAAGTAATACCTTCATCAATATTGTATGTCTGCCACATCCTCAAATGACTGCTCTTAAATCTAAAGTTGTAAAAACTTGTAATATTGGTTATTGTTTCCTTATTCTTGGTTACATCTAAATCAAGATTTGTGTCAACAACCTTCACCCTGTAACGCTTCCCTGGTACTTTATCAAGTGCCTACAAAAGATTGGATACTAAATGAATTCTGATAGACACAATATAAAACAAGATGTGCTGTGAGTCATTGCTCACTAGTGATATCCCTGCTTTTTGATAGGTAGCCATCAAACTTTCACATTGATTTGTGATAGCCTTTTTGATTTATTTTGTGAAAACTGTTTGTGACGGACAGACGGAAAGCTGATTACTATAGGGCTCCTATGTCTGAATAAAAAGATAAGATATCAAATAAAGTTAAAGAAATATCTTATATCTAATTTATGAGATATCTAAAAAAATAAATAAGATATCTTATAAACTAAACAAGAGGAGGCTCCGGGGTCCCCCACTGGTGCTAAAATATAATATTTCCATAAAGCACTTGTGACCTTGACCTTTGAATGACTAGAAACATCAAAATCAATAGGGATCTTCCTTACCTAATAACATTCAACTGTGTAAGTTTGAAGAAATAATATGAAGGTGTTCAAAAGTAACAGTCCAGAAACCGATTTTGGACGGACGGACGGACACCGGTATTTCTATGTCCCCTCCGGTTTATCACATGCTTCGACTTTTATCACATGCCTTTCCGTAACGTTATCACATGGCATTCCGGTAATACTCGGCAAATTCTGAAAAATACACCTCAATGGTACGTTTTCAGTGAAAAACATTACAAAGTAGGGTACAAAACAATTATTTGGATACTGGAAAGTATATTGTGTAAAATGGAAAAAAAACAAACAATACACAAATGATAAAATAAATGCATTTTTAACATAATTAAGAAAGTTACTTTAAAAATGTTGACTTTTCCAAACAGTGTTTATTATGTATATTGTTGAATTATTTTTTTATCGTCCGTATTAAAATATACCATACTGTTTTTTTTTCTTCATTGTTGAGGCATATGATAGAAAGATTTCATATTGATTGTACAACATTTGGGGTCTGACATCCGTGATTATCTTACCTCCTATACATTTCTAGGAAAATGATTGGTTTAAAGCGTCCGCGTGGAGACTGTGTATATTTCATATTAGGTTTGTAGGGAGGCGGGGCTTATTTCATACACGGTTAGTAGTGGAGTTACGTCCCTTTATATTCCATATAAGGTTATAAGGTTGGCAGGGCTTATTTCATACACGGTTAGTAGTGGAGTTACGTCCCCTTTATATTCCATATAAGGTTAGAAAGGAGGCGGGGCTTATTTCATACACGGTTAGAAGTGGTGTTGCGTCCCTTTATAAAAACAAAACGGTATTGAGAAAACATCTTAAAGATTTCAACAGACGAAGAAATTGATGATTAAGATTGAAATGAATTCATAAAACACATTTAAACCTAACAAGTTGTTATTGTTGGCAGCTGTTTTTGTATGATCAATGAGAGAAGTGTCTTAATGCTCAAAGTATTGAAAACTTCAGTGCTCATTTTGATAGGTCACTAGTCTAAATTTCACACGTTAAGATAGTCGGTAAGATAAATTCGTTACATAGTGTGCTAGTGACGTAATACGGTATATATGGGGTCAGTAAGTTCCATATGGGGATTCGAGCTTTGCTCTCACCCCATATGGAATTTACTGACCCCATATATACCGTATTAGGTCACTAGCACACTATGTAACTTATAATATTTCACTCTTTGAACTGCTATTTAAGAACCACGTAAAAAGATCAATATATTAATCTGTTATTTTTCTCCATTGTTGAAGCATATGATAAAAAGATCATAGCATGTCATTTTTCATATCACATGTATTATCAGCCCTCGGCCAATATCAGCCCTCAAGCAATGCGGCTCTTGGGCTGATATTAAACCTAGGGCTGATAATACATGCGATATGAAAAATGCCATGTAATAATCTGATATTATACAAGATATCTTAAATACTTTTACAAGATATCTTATAAAGTCAAGTTTATGAGACATCTTACAAAGTGTATGCAATGATACTATTTTATATACAGTCATACCTACCCTCTTTCTTTCTAAGGTGGTAGTATTTCAGCTTCTGCAATCTTGTTCTTTGTATTTGTCTCAATAGTGTTCTCCTAAGTTAAAAGAAAAGAAAAACTTTTTAAGAATATTTTAAACAAGGTTCTAATTGAAATTGGAACAATAATGAATTCTGGAATACACATGATAATATTGAAGCAAAAACCAACCTACATGTATCTTAGAGGGTTTAGTAATATATGAATGGGTTAGGGTTCAGTTGAGGTATGTTTTATACACAAATGATTTAGAAATTTACCCTTAATTTACCCTCAATTATGCATGTATGAATGCATAGTTTAACCCCTATTGGCCCTAAGTGTACATGTAAATTAGATCAATTAAAACCTTGGTTTTTATTTTAATAGATTTTTTACTAATGCTTAATGATGAAACTAGTTTACCAAATAAAATGTGCAAAAGCTTAGTGAATATGAAGACCAAATTGGAACTTTAAAGTTTAATGTTATTTCTGAATTGAAAGATCTTCTTATTCTTGTCATAGTAAAACTGAGTACATATGCAGTTTGACATGTAGTTACAATTTGGATCCCATACATATATATATATATATATATATACATGACATAACAATAAACTCACTATTGACTATTGAGTATACATGTGTACAGGGAATCATATTTATACATGTATATGAAAAGACATACCTCCTCAACATGCTCAATACTGTTATTTCCAAATAGTTTTTCTCTACACCATGTACACAGTCTACAAATTGCTGTAATATAAAAGAAAATAGATACACAATTGATCTCATTCTGTGTATCACTATCAAAACTATTTAGGCCAAACAAAAAAAAGTGTGTTTACTGTCACTTGCTGAAAAAAAAAGGGTAGGTAGGTAGGGATTTTTTTTTTTTTACATTGAGTCTATGGGAGCAACATTGTGACTTTGACAGTACTTAATCAAAAATAGTCAAAAAAACTTTAGGGTAGGGGACAAAAATTAGGGTAAGTAGGGGTACAGTAAACCCACATACTTTTTTGTTGGGTCATATACTGAAATTAGGGTAGGTAGGTGTACAGTAAACCCACATACTTTTTTGTTGGGTCATATACATGTACATGTATGTACATAAAAACATGAATTTTAAAACATACATGTATCTCAAGTAAACATGAATAAAAGAAGGCTGTCCGCGCCCTTATCGGAATATAAGCCTTCTGGTGCATACATGTAGTTGTGACAACATTAGGGCTATGTTGCGGCTTCATTGCACCAACATGTTGTGGCAATGATGCTGCATTAGCGTATTTCATATGCAAATAAGTTTTCTGGCACTGGTGCCAGAAAATGCTGTGGCTTCGTTGCCGCAACATGTTGTGGCTTCAATGCATATATTGTTTTTTATTTTGTATGCAAATTAGTTTTCTGGCACTATTGCGCCACTAATGCCTTTAAATTCTGGCTTCCTTTAATTATTGACTAAAAAGGTAAAGTAACGTCTGACCAGGCAAGTTTAGTGCTAAGTATACCCGAGAAAAAGTTTTAACTCCTTTAGTTAACGTTATGATTTTTTTGTGTGCTCAGGGTTATTATTATAACTTTTTCTTTTAAAGAAAGTAAAGTTCTGTCCTCAGAAGTTATTCCTATATGTAATGTACTTAATTTTCCCACATTGAGGAAAAGGAAAGTTAAAATGTGTAACTCATGAACTGTCAACATGCAACATCTATACCTTCAATAACACCAACGTAATTTCCATGATCCCAACAGGAGCCCCTTCACTTCAGTCAAAGGTGTTGTGTTTTGTCTGATTAGCAATCTAAATTTGTGATTATACTACATTTTTTTCCAAACAAATAGCACTTTCAAGCCGTCTTTAGAGGGTTACAAAGACATAATTGACCAAACTTCTTTCAGCATGATGATGATGCTCTGTAAAATTTTAGCGAGGGTTAAATTGAGAAAGGGAAGAGAAACCATCACTTATGTTTCAGAAGGTACCAATTCGCCCCATTAGATGATAGTTCGTCCCTGTTAATTAGGATTTTTTGAAAATGCTCTCCAGGTCTATCAGGAAGAAGACAATTCCCTTGATTTAATTAAATGAGAGATTGAACTTTTATATAATGCATTTAATTAATCATGTTAATCTAAGTTTACATACAAGTCTTCACATGAACACCCAATTCTTCACTAAAATCATAAGCTCAAGCAACATATGGTCCACTTCTAACACACCACCATGACCACAGTAAAAAGCTCAAACACTGGTGACATCATCAATGACATTATCAATGTTCTGGCTCTATTCTGGCTCTATTCTGGCATCATTTTAGTAGATTAAGAATGAGAAAATTATATGTGTGCTTTATGGCAACATTGTGGCGCTTTTTGTCATGAAAGGAAATAGCGCTGCACTGTAGCCAGAATGATGCTAGCGGCATCATTCAGCACTTATCCGGCAGCAATTTTCTGGCAACCTGATCAGCAGCCGCAACATTGCAGCATTGTTGCTGCAACATTTTTTATTTCATAAGGACCGGTATGAAATGATGTGATTATCATGTACAAAACCTTACAAATCTGGTAAAGGAAAGGAAACGTGAAACAGCTTTCATGTTATAATTTTTGTCTCTCAAAAACAAGATTCAAAGAACTTCACATAATTTTATGTTTTAAAGTTTAAAAAAGGGGTATTAAAGAAGTTCATATGGCTGTCACATGCTAAAAACAATAAGCTTAAGGTTCATAGCCAAATGGTAGATAATTAGTAACCCTAAGGTTTTTTTGGTTGTTTTTTTTTTTTTTTTGGGGGGGGGGGGGGGGTACCTGACAGCTGCATTTGATTTCTTTTTTATAAGAGGTTTATCACTGTATCTTTTTTAAAGAAAAATGGTATTAGGTAAATAGTATCTACTTACATGTTCCAATAGGAATGAAAATGCCTGTCTTTGTAACAATTCTTTGAAACATCTCGGGTGTAACATGTCGATCCACTGCTTTTGTAGTATTATGATATTTCAAAATGACATTTTCTGAAGGCACACCACAATTTTTCCTTCTATATCTCTTGTTAGTTGTTTCGATGATAATATTTCTATGAATATCACAGATCCTCAGTTGTGACGTACAATGTAATGTCAGATTTAAGTAAAAAAAATTCTGACAAAAATTTATACATGTCTCTTTTTCCAATGGAAGCATTTTCAAAAATACCTGTCGTCACTGCAGTTGCCACAATTGCCTACGAAATCTTTTATGCTACACATTTTATAACAATTGTTCGAAGATTATATAAATAAATACATTAAAAAAGTTAGTTACGGTAAGCAAAATAAACTATAAAATACACTGTCTTAGTACAGACACAGTTCCATTGTTCTGACAATATTTTCAAAATATGAGCAAATCACACCAACTTAACCATATATATAAGTGTAGGCTAACATCACTGTGAAAAATTTACCCATTTCCCATTATGCTTGAATATAAAACATTCAGAAATTCGCAAAATAACATTGTTGTCTGCATTTGTTTACATTTTCCCTCCTGTTTTTAATTTGTTTCTCTACAAGAGAACTCCGTAAAGGGAGGTAATTTGATTAGGTAAATACAGGACAACTCAACTTTTCAGGGTCAATTAATTTCAACACAGTCAAGTTTGCCCACTGATTTTTATTCTTTTCTTGTATAACCTTAATCCATTCTCTCTATTCATATAATCAACAATATAAGAAATGGCTGCATTTTTTTACAACACCTGATCAAAATAGGCTCTAAAACCCCCCTTTTATTGCACTTTTTACCCTATTTTAGCTATATAGATTTTTTTTAAGAAAGTTTACTGTTGAACACAATTTTTATTTGTTTTTTTTAAACTGAAAAAAGTTTTAAATGTCTGAATATCTATATCATTTTCTTTTTATTAGACATAATTGATCATAATTTGTAAACACTGCATTTTCCCTCTTTCTTGCCACTTTAAGTCCTGTTACCAAGGAAACGGTAAACATATGGGGCTAAGTGTAATAATATTTTTTGTTAAGCTCATGTGACTCTATTGAACTAATAAAGTTTAAAACAAATATTTTTTAGTGCGTGCCGAAATATTTTGGTGATTACAGAGAATTGCTCTTAAAAACCATACACAACTTTGATTATTGTTTGTTTGTTTACTTATCACGTTATAAATATGTATAGTAAATAATTTGCTTATGACATTGCATACTAATAAAACAGATGGATGCATGAATAAAACACTATACTTAAATTTTCTCTAATTTAAGTACTGAAAGAAAAGGTTAAATCATAGAATCTGAAATGATTATAATAGTTGACTTTATCTAATTTGAGCCCGTTTGTGCTTTAAACTTTGGGTTATCAAACTCAGTAGTTTCCGTTCCCTAACTTTAGTTTGCCTCAACCAAAGGTTATGAAACTTATACAAAATGCTTATTACCACAAAACACGGATCAAGTTTGAATTTCGGTGGCGTCACTTTTACTGTTCTAGAGTTATGCCCCTTTACAAATGGAAAAAAATGCTGAATTTTTCGTTTCCGTTCTCTATAACTTAAGTTTGCCTCAACCAAATGTTATGAAACTTATACACTAAAAATAACGGATTTAGGAAAAAAGGGGGAGGGGTTAACACAATTTTCCTGTCCCAAAGTCCTATGCACTACACAAGCGTTTTTCCATAACCTTCAAAAATGTTATTAGAGTTTTTTACCCCTTTATTGTGTTAATTTCAAGCTCATTTACTCCACGCCCCGTATGAAAGGGGAAGTTTATAGTGATCTGTCTGATGGCATAGTTTTCGTTGTTAAATTAAGGTATGATTCATTTTTGTTATGATTTTAGAAAGTTACATGTATATTGTCTTAAATAATTTGTTTAGTAACTATAATCTTGATCGTAGACCAAGTGACTACAAAATCAATAGCTAGGGTTATATATTATTTATGATGCAGTCACAAAGTTATTAAGTATAGGTCACTTTATGTGTTATAGCTCACTATTTTAGATGATTTATTAAAATATCAATACATGTATCGTGTACAAATATGATGGCATGTTATAAGTAACAAGACATCTAATTATTTTCTAAATGGAATTTGAAGAAAAAATAGAAATGTTATTTTAGATACTTCGTATTCTTTCAAAGTGACAAACAAATGAAATCACTTATCACGTCCACCTCAATGAATCAGACTTCCAAAAAGGCACTGCATGGTCAGTATAATTATACAATCACGTCCACCTCAATGAATCAGACTTCCAAAAAAGCACTGCATGGTCATTATGATTATACAATCACGTCCACCTCAATGAATCAGACTTCCAAAAATGCACTGCATGGTCAGTATAATTATGCTTACCATGCCCGAGCACGGTGCACGACATTATAATAAACAAGAAATTGTTGCACGCATATGGGTGGAAATGCCAACTCGGTTGGTACAACCGGAATACAAAAGATCTCCAAAAAATAACATGGTCTCCATTTTTCAGGTCTAAAACATCAACTGAAATATAATACGGAAATGTTCTCGATGTTGGTCATACTTTTATACAATATGTTTACTACGTCATGAAGAAAACCTTTTAGGAATTTGCTCTTCAGGTAATGACGTCTGGTATTTAACTTCATAATCATGATAAGTATGATTTGATGAACATGATGAAGAACAATAATCATGATGATATAATTTATCCCTGAAAATTACGATTAAAAAGATAGCCACGTGCCAGAAAAATATCTAGCACGATGACCTAAAAGAAAATAAATAAATGAGGAGATGTGGTATGTATAAAGACAAAAAAGACAAAGGTTTGAGCACGCACCTTACGTCGTGGTACGGCCTAACAATTAGTAAAACCTAAACTATTATAATAAACTAGTAAGTTGTAAGTTACATTGTGCAACCATTCAACATGTTCAAATGAAAAAAAATCGAAGGCTTCATCTTCTTTCGTTAAACAACAAAGGAATAAACAATCATGGTCATTGATAGTCCAAATAATTATGACGTCTTGAAAGGCTATTATATTTTTTTTCTTTTGACGCCTTACATCGACGCAGGAAGGCGTCAAAGCAAAAATTTAAAATAGCCTTCCAAGACGTCATAGTGGTCATTGATTGCCGATGGATCTATATATGACTTCGCATTCTTATTCCAGTTTTCACGTTTTTATGCTGATATTTTTATTTTCACCAGTTCGATATGACCTCAGACGGCACATTGATAGTAAAAACAGCAAATGAAAAATAACAAATAACAAATAGCAAAATAATTAGAAAGGAAATATCAGAAAAATTACACGAAAAAGAAAACATTGCTTCCAAAGTCAAATGTGACAGAACTATGTAGAAATTTAAATACGGTTAGTACAGGATTAAATCATTGCTTCCAAGGTCAAATGTGACAGGACTATGTAGAAATTTGAATACAGTTAGTGCATGCAGGATTAAATCATTGCTTAATTTATATAACAACAATTACGAAAAATTATAAAAGGCAAAAAACAATCAATGACAACCACTAGATTACACGGAGGGATTTCAGCATACACATTTGGGTACAGACATCCGGCTCTGGTTGTCCCCGACCCCCCCCCCCCCCCCATTTCATATATTGATTTCTGCGAAAATCCCTACCCGTGCATATATTTCATAACCCACTCTCATATTCCCAGAAAATGAACAGTTATGATCCATTAACAAATAAATTTCAACCCACTGTTATATAATCTCTGTGATAGTCCACCCCATTGATGCATTTGACATTTCCCATACCAGCGTCACGTCTGTGTATACCTTTATGTAGGAAGAGACGCCCCCTCTATCTCACTCGTACTAGATTACAGACTCTTTGCTGAGGACAGACATGTTACCGCATAGAATATTTCTTTATGTTTATGATTGTTAATCGTGCATGTTTTTACATGTTATACATGTATTCATATTCATTATCATATCACATTGACGCTTAACGAATGACAAACCCAAATCAAGCACACCTTTTTACCTGCATGCTTTCTAGTTACCGCCAAATAATCCCTTCTGTGATATATTTTCATACCTGTATTCTGTACTCATGCGCCATTAGCTATATAATATATATCATGTATATTTACAGGTTGGTTTTTCTATTTCTTAGTTTTAATATTCGGTTCTAATATTTTCGTTTATAATTGTTTTCATTCTTTGAATATTATTGTTCAGTGGTATATTTATACCTATTGTAACTATTATTGTATTACAAAATAAATATTAGTGGGGATTTACGAATTATTCATATAGCCATATCATATGGGAAAAATACCCGGCACAGACACATAACGAATTAATGAATTAATATGGCGGGATTAAATACGTTTGTGGGCGCTCAACACCCACGTGACGCTAAATGTAAGACAAGCGACAGGGGCGGGTCCAGGTGAGGGCGTAATGGGCGTACGCCCCCCTTTAAAAAAAGAAAAAAACTATCGTAATCTGCTAATATTATATTGAATATGGCAATATATCATATTCATTAATTATTTTATGTTTTCTTAAGCAAAAAAAGGTCCAAAAATATTTTCGCCTCGCTCCGCTCAGCGAAATATTTCATTCTACGCCCCCTCTTTCAAATATCTTAAAAACGCCCCTGAGCGAGTTACAAAACACTTATACTTAAGGTTCATCAAAAGGAATTAAAAAAATATGGCCATGTTTACACCACAAAATCTACTATGAGTACAGACAAACTGATGCATCTAGTTAAGTTTTAAGGCATGACAGGTCCTAGATTTATAAAAGTTATATGTAGTCTAGTATGTTCATTCATTTTCAGTATACGGTATGGTGTTTACTCATTGTTGAAGCCCGAACAGTAACCTGTTTAATTAAAGAATAAGGAGATGTGGTATGTTAGCCAATGAGACTACTATCATCCAAAGTTCAAATGATTGTTTACATCATTGTCCTTTGACCTTTAATGAATAATTGTCTCCTTGGCAATTATACGACATATCATTATCTTTTATACTGGCCAACAAAATCGGCGACCAATGACTAATGGGACGACCATTGTATTTCGGTTTCGGAAAGGGGGAGGGGGATTTCGAAAATGAATATGCTGGCCTCGTAGGAGCTGAAAATAAATGATTTTGCCCAAAGACAGGATGAAAATAAATAATCTGCAACACAAAATATAGGAATTGATTGTGAACAAAAGTATAAATTTTAGCTAGATCTTGCTGCGGGAAAAAAAATAAGCATGTGTAGCAATTGATGTAAATGAATACTAGAAGTCAATATGGAAAAATCCTCCCCTCTCCCAGAATATCAAATAGTCGTCCCCTTCAGTTTCTTTTTTATTTAAGTAGACGAACAGTGAATCCTTTTAATTTTGAAACGGCAAATTATGTTCATATTATGTTTGTATAGTTGTCTCATTGTCAATCACATCACAACTCCTTATTTTAATACATGTATTGATATAGACATTATCTGCATGAACTCGACACCATTACCAATTTTCAATTCTGATTTCTGATTTCAGTTTTAGTACATTCATGACATCGGCACAGATATAAACCATGAGGCAAATAAAGTCATCAATCCTGATTCTATTGGTGGTAGCAGTTGCATTATTCTTCATGGCATACACCCTGTTGTTTGAGGACAAAAGCTTCCGTAATTCTGTGCAAAATGTTGTAAATTTTCCAGACAAGGAAGGAAACAGTCCTTTAGAATCAGACAAAGATCAGAGAGATACCAAAATTAAACCAACATTTAACTCATCCATGCCTTACGGACAAGAAATTGCAGATGTCCTGGCTGTGGCGAGACAAATGAATGTCAAACCTTTACTGGTTACCCTGATTAATGGAGCTTACCTTCAATTTGCTTTAAGTTGGTTGTGTAACACAGAACACATGGGAATTCACCAACAGGTATAAATCATACACTTCATTTGAACTTTGGTGGATAGTTGTCTTATTGGCCATCATACTATATTGAGTAGCAAGAGAGATATGTCCGATTGTTAGGGAATTCATAGAAATAAGAAGATGTGGTATGAGTGCCAATCAGACAACTCTCTATCCAAGTCACAATTTGTAAAAAGTAAACAATTATAGGTCAAAGTACGGCTTTCAACACAGAGCCTTGGCTCACACCGAACAGCAAGCTATAAAGGTCCCCAAAATGACCCGTGTAAAACAATTCAAACAGGAAAACCTAATCTATATAAAAAACTAGAAACGAGAAACACTTATGAACCACATCAACAAACGACAACCACGGAACAACAGGCTCCTGACTTAGGACAGGTGCAAACAAATGCAGCAGGTTTCAACGTTTTAACATTACAACATAGAAAGACACACTATATAATTTCAATTGAAATTAGCTTAAATATTTATTATCATATTTATTACAATACTGTACAATAAAGTAATATAATTTCACTGTACAGTTTACAGGGACAAAAGAAAATAAACAAATCTAAGCAGAAGGGGTTGAGGAAATGTTCTCAACATAAAAATTAGATGTGGTATGATTTCCAATGAAACAACTATCCACCAGAGTTCAAATAAAATGGGTGTAAGCAATTATAGGCCAACATAGGGCTTTCAACAATGAGAAAACACACACTGTATAGTCGTCTATAAAAGGCCCCAGCATGAAAAAAGTGAAACAATTCAAACGAGAAAAACAACGGCCTAATTTATACCAAAACAAAAAACGAATATGACAGACATGAAACAACGACAACCACTGAACTACAGGCTCCTGACTGGGGACAGGCACTTCAACGCTGTATTCTAGAAATATGAAACTTTCTTAAGTATAAGTTGCAAATTACAATGGCTTTCTCAAAATTATTATCTCGTCAGCAGTGACACATTATCATATTGAACAAAGTCGGTAACCACTTCTGTCTGATTGATAGAAAATGGCAAAATCATCACCGTTTGGAGAAAAAATCTAAATATAAACCTCCCTGTAATAAATAGTCTATAAAAGTTATTTTGCAATGACAAATTGATTCCGGTTGAAAGCTTCTATAATACGTCGATACGATCACGGCTGTCGTCACGTTGCCTTTGTGAAACAGGATAAAAAAATCAAAAGCAAATGATTTCATTTCAACTCCATATCTAATTTTGTGTTATGTTTATACACTGTCTATTGTGAAATGTTTGTAGCAATCCTATTATCTTAGATAAGAAACCAATAATATATTCTTAGATTTTACTGAAAATAATCTCAAAACTATTACCATATAATCAATTTACGTCTTAACTAATTAGATGCCTAATTAGAGATCATGGGAACCGTTATAAATATATATTTATCCTGCAATCGACCTTTCTACTATACTAATACAGGTGTACAGATAACACGAAGCGATATACGTATACTAGACGTATATAGTCTCCTGGTATCCCACTTCTGTTGCGAGCGAACGGTTATGTTAAATTACTGTTTACGTCACAGTTCAATTCGGGGTCCTCATTGCGGTCCGCGTATAAGTCATGTCGATTTCTATCAGAAACAAATTCAACGATTGGGATGGAAAAAATGTACAAAATTAATTGCAGGATAAAGACAATAACTGTTTAGTGTCTTTAAATATCAGCTGTATTTGTACTCAGCTCAAAACAGGAGTAATAGCTCGCCGAAGCTCGCATTACACCTGTTTCTTAGCCTCGTACAAATACAGCTGATATTTAAAGACACTAAACAGTTATTGTCTATATATACTGTGATTTTCGAACACTTGAAAATAAAAAAATTATAACTCCTCAAAGATACCAGCGGCTCTTTTCAAAAAATAATCTTTAGAGTAAAAATACTCGTATAAGTCATACACATTTCAGTATAACTTACGATCAATTTTAATCGTAAGATTTTTTGTGAAAACAGTCACAGGCTTATTCCGTTCAATACAATTTTGTACTCCAGACGCTCGTTTTGTGTACAAAAGACTCATCAGTGACGCTCGAATAGAAAAAGTTATAAGGTCATACCAAATACAGCTAAGGTAATCTTTTCCTGGGTTAGAAAATCCTTAATATTACGAACAATTCTAAGGTTTGTAAACAGTTAAATCATTAATATTTTCATATCAATAAATTAATAAAAATCAAACTTCTTTTGAAACACTTTTGATTTATACTTTCAATAACTAAATATTTTTCTGAAACGAATTTAGTGATATAATATAGAAATTGTAAGTTGTTTATTCGACAATGATAATTCCAGAATACGCATTAACCATAAATTATTCTTTGCTTAACTGAGATGCAAAGGTACATTGTATAAGGTCACCTCTCAAAATGACGACTTAATATCAAGTGTTTAAAACACATTATGAAAAGGAACAAATAATTCTCTTTTGGTTTTGGCCTTATATCTATTTCACGCTTGAAGGGATATTTCTAGTATCATCACACGTAAAATAGTGTGATATGAATAAAAATTTTTCCTATTATCTTGAAAAAAAAAAAATAAATAAAAGATCAAGTTTTGCCGAGATCGTTAGTAGACTCTTTGTAGGAGTGATTATTAGTGTCCTTAATTGGTGAATGTTAGTCCCTTACCGACGAAGTCGAATGGGACTTTAGGTTTACACTCCGTCCGTCTGTCTATCTGTCTGTCCATCCGTCAGTCCGGCAATTCAGTTTTCCACGCTTTTTTTCTTCGTGCTTGAATATATTTATTTGAAATTTGGTACATATTTTAATCATGACCAGTTACAGATCGATTTTGAATTTTGTTCCGGTCTGATGATTTTGTGCGAAGTTATGGTCCTCAGACTTAAAAATTCAGGCAAATAATCAGTTTTCCACACTTTTTTTCGTCATGCTTGGAGATATTGATTTGATATTTGTAATAGAGTTTACGCCATGACAAGTTATAGATTAAGTTAGCATTTTGTTCCAAAACAATGATTTTTAAAAGGTTGGGGACTATGTATTTCCATGCAATACTCTCAGAATGCTTGCTTTTACTCTTTTTTGTTTTGGACAAGTAGGTAGAAAGAGAAATTGTACACATAAAAAGGATCAGCAATACAAAATCACGAAAAGAGATCTTGGTCATAAAGATGCACATAGACCCAGTTAGCGACACTGGCTCTAAAGAGCCTCTAGTTTAATTTTTTGCTTAAAATCATTGACTATAATGGAAATACAGAAACTGAATCATGCTGAAATAATAAACAAGACAGATTTTTATCTGGATTTATAATTTTTTTTTCTATTTTCTGGCCTTTTATTTTTATTTCCAAAATTCATTTACCTTACAATTCATATCATTCTTATACGACCGCAAAGAATTTTGCGGTCGTATATTGGTATCACGTCGTCGTCGTTGAGGTCAGCGTCGTCGTCGTCAGCGTCGTCCGAAGACATTTGGTTTCCGGAAAATAACTTTAGTATAAGTTAATAGAAATCTATGAAATTTAAACACAAGGTTTATTACCACAAAAGAAAGGTTGGGATATATTTTGGGGGTTATGGTCCTAACAGTTTAGGAATAAGGGGTCTAAAAAGGGCCCAAATAAGCATTTTTCTAGTTTCCAGACAATAACTTGTGGAACAGTGTATGGATCTTTCTGAAATTATACCACAAGTTTCCATACCACAAAGGGATGGTTAGGATTGGCTTTGGGGGGTTATGGCTCAAACCGTTTAGGAATGAGGGGCAAAAAGGGGGAGAAACAAGGGTTTCCTAGTTATGGACTATTACTTAAGACAATTTAAAAGCATTGTAAGGAGGGTAATCCAAACACAACATTTTGGATTACCTCCCTTACACTGCTTTTAAATTATGTATAAAGAAATGTTGTATTGTCTTGAGGTGATTGGCTGTCAATTTATTTTTAGAAGTTACTATTAAAAATTCAGATTAAGGTATATTAATTTTAGGCGTGATTATGTATGTCATTTTTGTCTCACTTTGACGGTGTTTTTTTTTTTTTTGGGGGGGGGTCAATTCGCAACAGCATGGTGTATTGCACAAAAGCAAAAATTGAATATAAATTCAAATCATATAACCAATTCTAAGTTCTTTGACTACAGTTATTCTGTGTCAGAAACCTATTATGTGTCAAATATTTAATTACAATCCAAATTCAGACCTGTTTCAAGCGCGAATATTGTGTCCATTTTTGCCCCAACTGTTCAGGATTGGACCTCTGTGGTCGTATCCAGCTGTGCTCGGCGAAGCAATTTATTTTAGTGTTGATGAGCTGTTGGTATTCTTTCTTTATCTGAGCGGAATAGATTGCCTTTTCTTTCAAAAACAATGAAGGCTGGTTTTGACGTACACAATTGCAATTTCAAAGTTTTGACGCATTCAATTGTAAATTTAAGTTAAACTTGATGATAATATATTTTTAAAAGGTTAACAATAATGTACAACACACATTATATTTTTCCACTGTATCATTTTATTTTATTTTTTGGGGGGGGGGGGCAAAATGCGATGTAAGCGGTAAACGCTACTTGGAACCTCTTGTTATTGTGGTTTTTGGACGACATAGGTCATTGAGGTAACAAGCAATCAAGAAAAGCACTAACTTTGTATTTTGCATGTTAGTGCTATGTAGTATAATTTGCATTTAAATCTTTATTTTAGGTATTGATTATCAGTACAGATTTGGACACTAAAGATACGATAAAGAACCAATGGCCGGATATAAATGTAGTAGCTATTTCCGGTATGCCATTAAATGGCGACCAATCATATAGCCATGCAGGATACGTTAGGTTAACAAACTTTCGAGCACATGTATTGTTAGAATTATTGTTAATCAATCAAGAGGTATTTTTATTTGAGGTTGATGCATTGTGGATAAAAAATCCAGTTCCTGTATTATCTAGTACGAAAAACGCTGATATTCTTGCAAATCCCGTGTCTGAGAGACCTGGTTTAACAGCTATTGGTTTTCTATATTTATTCCCAACTAACCCTACGATTCTTACTTGGAAAGAGTTGAACAGAAGATTATATGAGTTAGATAAGAAAATTAAATCCATGCCTGCAGGAAAACTGATTTCTGAAGGAGACAACGACCAGATATATGTGTCTGGAATAATCAACAAACGGCTTGGAGGATTGCAAAAGAAAGAGTTGCCATTAGCAGATTATCCAGACGGGAAATGGTATGTGATGTCAGAAGCGAAACGAAAGGCATCCCGGCCGTATGTAATCAACAATAACTGGGTCATTGGGAACAAAAATAAGATATTACGTGCCAAAAAGTGGGGACATTGGTTTTTAAGTGACGATGGTAATTGCAACATTACAAATATCAAACGAATTACAGAAGACTTCTGGCATCCTCTTGAGAAAATCTGAATTCTCGAAAATATTGTAGCCTGAGCTATTGGGTTCCCTCATGGAGTTCTAACCAAAGACGAAGTACGACCATGATATGTCATTAACATGTGCGCACGAAATTGCGCACAGTCACAAACGGTATTGTTTAATATTAACGATACCTCGAAATGAAAACTGTAATGCGATATGGATTATACAGCATACATGCCGAACTCATTGACAGATCATATCAAGTTCAAACTTTGTCAGAATTTCTTCTGCGTACGTACATAAGAAATTGGACAGATAATTAGTGACTATTTCTTAAGTTCGTTTTGTTTAAATTTTAGATTTTTAGTTCGTTTTGTTGAATGATTAGATGGAAAGTTAGTTTTAATTGAATTGAGATTTTTTTAGTATAAGCCTAGTTGTTTATTTATGACCAATGTCTTATGGAGTTTGAATTTACATTAATTTCCTCCAATACAGATTGGTCCAATCATACCATTACTCCACAATGACTATTATATATATATATCTGCTTTCTTGTCTTCTTTTATATACACATGTTCAAAATTATGATATTATTTTGTCTTGTTCTAGATATTTTGTCTGCATGTAATGTTTGTTATTTTGTATCCATTTAGGATTTACTAGTAATTATTTGATATATTTTTTGAAACGCCATTTTAACTTGCATGCACTTACATGTAGTTCTGAGTTATGATTTGTTTATACAATCTGAGTTATGAGCAAATGATTGTGTTATATGGACCTTTACAGAAGAATTAAAGGATTTGTTGTATGAAACAATTATTACTTGGTATGTGAACAATTGTATGACGTATTACGTCTTTGTGCCATATCCAATGCAATTGTTTTATTGAACATTATATGTATATTTACAATAACACAAAATAAGAAATAAAGAACTGTTAAACATTTTACGAATATTTATTAAGTAAGTTCCTGCTTGAATTCTATAGAGCTGCCCGAAAAAGTTAACCTTGCAATTTTGTTTAGATGATTTTTTTGCATAGATTGATATCAATATTAATTAGACAACACACAAATTGTTAATAATGAATCATAATATGCTATAAAACACATAATGTAGTATAAAATACATATTCAATCCCGTCCAATCTTCCGCGTTGATGAAAATCATCGAACGAGGCTTATCACCGGATGTATACTCGCCATAATCAAATCTACGGGCGCCACTACTATAACCCAGGAAGTATTTTCACTTCCGGAGTATTTTTACTTCCTTCATTGGTCACTGTAAGTTATCATCATCTGTTCTATAATCTGTGATCGTCCATTAAGTTATAAGCCAATCAGAACCATTGTTTCAGAGATATATTTTTGTTCATGTTATGCTTATGTAGTGCTGGTACAACCCCGTCCAAGATTACGGAGACTTACTAAAATGTTTTACCCTGCTACACGTTAAATGTCCCTGTAACAAGCCAGGAGCCTGTATCCCAGTGGCAGTGGTTTCTGTTGCTGCTATCTGCCATACACATGTATTTGTTTTTCGGTTATTGTTATAATATAAACCAGTTCGTTCGTTTTCTCTTCCAAATGGTTTCACATTTTTATACGACCGCAAAAAAATTTTTGTGGTCGTATATTGGTATGACGTTGGCGTCGTCGTCGTCGTCCGAAGACACATTAGTTTTCGCACTCTAACTTTAGTTTAAGTGAATGGATCTCAATGAAATTTTACCATAAGGTTAAATACCACAAAAGGAAGGTGGGGATTGATTTTGGGGTTTATGGTACCAACAGTTAAGGAATTAGGGGCCAAAAAGGGGCCATAAATAAGCATTTTTGTAACTTCCAGACATAACTTGTGTGTAAGTGTATGGATCTCTCTGACATTGTACCACAAGGTTCCATATCATAAAGGGAATGCTGTGTTTGATTTTGGGGGTAATTGCCTCCAAATTTTAGGAATTAGGGGCCAAAAAGGGGCAAAAAACAAGCATTTTTCTAGTTTCATGACAATAACTTGTGTGTAAGTGTATGGATCTCTCTGGCATTGTATCACAAGGTTCCATATCACAAAGGGAATGCTGGGATTGATTTTGGGGGTAATTGCCTCCAAATTTTAGGAATAAGGGTCAAAAAGGGGCCAAAAATAAGCATTTTTCTAGTTTCCAGACAATGACTTGTGTTCAAATGTATGGATCTCTCTGAAATTGTACTGCAAGGTACCATACCACAAAGGGAATGCTGGGATTGATTTTGGGGGTAATTCCTTCAAAATTTTAGTAATTAGAGGCCATAAAAGGGCAAAAAAACAAGCATTTGTCTAGTTTCAGGACAATAACTTGTGTGTAAGTGTATGGATCTGTATGAAATTGTACTGCAAGGTTCCATATCACAAAGGGAAAGCTGGGTTTGAGTTTGGGGGTAATTGCCCTAGACGTTTAGGAATTTTGGGCCAAAAAGCGGCCAAAAAACAAGCATTTTTCTAGTTTCCAGATAATAACTTGTGTTCAAGTGTATGGATCTCTCTGAAATTGTACTGCAAGGTACCATACCACACAGGGAAAGCTTGGATTGAGTTTGGGGGTGATGAATCATAAGGGGGTTCAAAAAATTGGGGGGGATTTTTTTTTTCCTTTTTTTCTTTTAAATTTTCCATTGGTTAAAATTGGTTATTTCTGATTTATATATAAAAGCAAATAATAATGATATGGTTTGAATAGGTAAATTAAAATTTTTTAAGTTCTTAGACCACTTTCATTCTGTGTGAGAAACCTATGCTGTGTCAAATATTTAATAAGAATCCAAATTCAGTGCTGTATCAAGCTTGAATGTTGTGTCCATACTTGGCCCAACTGTTCAGGGTTCGACCTCTGCGGTCGTATCAAGCTGCGCCTCAGCGGAGCATTTTATTTAAATGTTTAATACTGCGGCCCTTGGTGGCATGTTATACTGTATATTGCTCATTATTGAAGGCCATATCAGTTGAGCATATTCTTGTCCTTTGGTCTGTATGGATAATTGTCTGCTCGGAAATCCTACCACATGATATTTTTATACTGACGAATTGTTCGATTGATTTTCACTAAATGCATATTTATTTTGAAGATCAATTATTTAATATTTATCCAAAATGACTATTATCACTTATTTCTTAATAATAATAAGAAAACCACCAACATGTTTGATGTTATTATTTAAAGCAATGGTGTAAATTGTGCTGGATTAACATTGTGCTGATACTTTTATATCATTTGATTTCAATCTTCTTGTTTTTAGTCCCCTAACGAAGAAGTCGAAGGGGATTTTAGGTTTGTCTGTCTGTCTGTCCATCCGTAAGTCCGGCAAATCAGTTTTCTAATTTTTTTCTTCGTGCTTGAAGATATAGATTTGATATTTGGTATATAAGTTACAGATCAAGTTCGAATTTTGTTCCGGTCTGATGATTTTGTGCAGAGTTATAGTCCTTGGATTGAGAAAATTCACGCAAGTAATCAGTATTCGACACTTTTTTCGTTATGCTTTAAGATATTGATTTGATATTTGTTATATTGTTTAACCATTACAAGTTATAGATCAAGTTCAAATTTTGTTCCGTTCAGATGATTTTTTTTGCAATACAATGATTTGTTAACCGGTAAGGGACTATGTATTGCCATGCAATACTCTCAGCGATTGTTTTAATGGACACTAAAAAAATAGAAATAACGCACCTCATCTGACCATATATAGTAGTTTCACAATTTCTTGATTTTGCTTCAAAGGACAAGGTACGATAAGCCCCCGTTTTGGCCCCATATTTTCTTATTTTTCAAATTTTGTTTTGGAAAGCTACTTATCATGTTAAAATATTCCCTGAGGTTTGAAGTTTGTTTGGATGAACTTCAAAACCATTAATTTCAGCAACTGGGTGAGATGAGGGGGGTAAACTTTCCGTTATTTTTCAGATATTGTAATTATTATTCACTTTGGAGATGTTCCATACAACGATTTTTTAGTTTTTAAGTGCCTGCGCCAACGTGACCCAGGAATTTTTTTATTACAATGTCATTATCACTGTTTTTGCTGTCTAGATCGCCATAATTTTCTCCGGGTCACGTAGGCGCACGCTATTAAATTTTAAGAAACACAGGCCAAAAATCGTAATTTTTCCTACTTTTGGCGTTTTTGATGCCCTTTCACCCCCATCACCTCACCTAGTTGCTGAAATTATTGGTTTTGAAGTTCATCCAAACAAACTGCAAACCTAAGGGAATATTTCAACATAATAAGTAGCTTTCCAAAACAAAATTTGAAAAATGAGAAAATAGGGGGCCAAAACGGGGGCTTATCGTACCTTGTCCTTTATAGAAATCTTATATTTTAAGCATAATCTTGAAATTAACACAGAGTTTACAGAGAAAGTGTTATTTTAGTGGCGACAATGGAGATTTCCTTCACAAAAATCAAAAGTCTGAGGAGTCAATTTCAGATTGGTCATTAGACAAGAATTCTATTAAGAAACTGAAAATAAAAGTTCTTTTAATTGTTTTCAGATGAAAAGTTACAAACGACTTTAGTTTTCACAAATTTGGCAACATTTTGTTTTTGGTTAAACATTTTTTTTTTAATGTCAGAAATATAAATAGAATTATTAAAAAAAATAAAAATCCTTTTAACAGAATTTGGTGTTTATGACTTCAGAAACGTTCTGCCAAAATTTTGACTTATTTCAGTCTTTTAAAGAAAAAGTTATATGCAATAGAACTTTTTACTACAAAGAAATTAATGGAGGTGGTGCGTTTCTTTTGTTGTTGAATATATGAATCTGTGATATGAAATAGAATGGACACAAGCACACACAGAAAACATAACAAACAATATTATCCCATATTAGTAAATGTTCAGTTACTAAGAGAAAGCTCAAAGTACTGTACCTGCTAATATATATTTATTCCATCCTACATTCTAATATCGGTGACCGAACCTGCTAATATAAATTCATTCCATCCTACATTCTAATATCGGTGACTGAATCTGCTAATATAAATTCCTTCTATCCTACATTTTGATATCGGTGACTGAACCTACTAATGTAAAATCACTCCGTCCTACATTCTTATATCAGTGACTGAACCTGCTAATATAAAATCACTCCGTCCTACATTTTAATATCGGTGACTGAACCTACTTATATAAAATCACTCCGTCCTACATTCTAATATCGGTGACTGAACCTACTAATATCAAATCACTCCGTCCTACATTCTAATATCGGTGACTAAACCTGCTTATATAAAATCACTCCGTCCTACATTCTAATATCGGTGACTGAACTTGCTAATATAAAATTCCGTCCTACTTCCTAAAATCGGTGACTGTACTACAAAGAAGCTTTATACAACAAAGTAATAAACAGTGCTTACAGGATAATTCATCATTGATTGGTGTTTAACGCAACTTTTTGCATTATTGGCTGTTTTGTGGATGTCAGTTTTTTATTGATGGCGGAAGCCAGAGTGCCCGGAGTTACCGCCGACCTTCGTTACGAAAACTGCGACAATCCTAGTCAATTAAGATTGGAGTCGAACCGTGCGCGATTTAAGCTCAGTGATGACAGGCTAGTGATATAGTAGTTGGACTTCTTATACCACTCGACCATTGAGTTCCCTTACAGAAAGACATCTGAGAAATACAAAGAGCAAACTACAAAGGAAATAAAAACTGAGAAATTAATAAAAAAAAAACAGGTAACATATTATTAGTATTACCACCAAACCAAGACTGAAGAGGAAAACAGTAGGAAAGGATTGATTGATTTCTGGTTGCTTAACGTCCAGTAGCAATTAGTTGTTGCATGTTCACGACGACCAACGGGAAAGGAAAACCTTAGTTAACTATTATATTTATATAGCCAAAACCATAAGTGAAAATTAAACGGTAAACTCGAAGGTAAATAACAGTCAC